TGTTGGACTGCTAACCAGAAGGTCAGCAGATGGAATCCACCTGCCACTCTTCAGAAGAAAGAGGATGCTTTCTGCTCCTCTAACAATTTACAGCCTGAGGAACCGATCACAAGGATCTACAGATAGCCCTCTCTCATAGGGACGGGCAACAGAAAAGTGGGTGAAGGGAAACATTGGTCAGGGTAAAACATGAAAAAATAAAAATTTTGAAAAGATCAAAGGTTCTTTAAGGAGGGAGAGTGGGGAAGGGAGGGGGGAAAAATAAAGAGCTGATACCAACGGCTCAAGTAGAAAGAAAATGTTTTGAAAATGGCAATAAATGTACAAATGTGCTTGACACAATGGATGGATGTGTGGATTGTGATAAGAGCTGTAAGAGCCCCCAATAAAATGATTTAAACAACAGAATAGCTGTAAGAGCCCCGAATAAAATGATTACAAAAAAAAAAATTTACAGCCCAAGAAACCCTCTGAGCTGTAAGATCACTATGAATCAGAATTAAATGAATGGCGTGAGTTTGGTGGTTGGTTTTGTCTGCAATAGGTGCTTCAAAACCATTTTGTGAACTCTCGGCTTTTGCCACTACTCAGCTGCAGCTGACGGCTGCCAGGAAGAACCATCAGCCCAGGATTGCCAGATCTTCTGACTTCTCTAAGAAGCCTATTTCAGAAACATCTCTATTTTTATGGCAGTACTCCCATTTTTAAATGCTGACAATGGCTGGATTGGGCCTGTGAGCTGCCTGTTTGTAACCTCTGCTCCGTAGCTTCTGAATGCCAACCTAATAAATAAGTGCTGGTATTTCTTAGCTACCCATTCTGAAACTTATAAAGGTATGTTCCTTGCCTACTTATATTCCCACACATACATTCTTTTATCCATGCTTCCTGCGGGCACACCCTGGTCTGTCTCACTGTCTCACAGCTCTGTCTTTGGCCACATTTTGATAATGCACTGGGAAGAGCACATTAACCAGCATATGAAATTCCCAAAGTCAAAACTGGTATTTTTTGTGTGTGATAAAGATTAGCCACATACTTGGATAAACTCGATTTCTTCTTGAGACACGGGTTTCCGTCTGTATTTCTGAGGTAATGTTTTGATTATTTCTGCAGTGTCTGGTGGGCCCTGCTGCATCAACGAATCTGGTGCTTTACTTCCCATAGAGTGCTGTGACATTACAGAAGAGGGCGGTGGTATGCCTGATGATCTCAAAGCTTCCGGTACTGAAATTCAAGAACAATATACTCAGAGAAATTTTTTTAGTATCTTAAAACACTATTTTATTACTACAGAATAGTAAATAAGTGCTGAAATTACAAGAGGTAAATATTATAAAGGCGTTCTGGTGGCATAGTGAGTTATTCATGGGAGAGGTTGGCACAAGGTCTGCAACTGAAATCTACCAGCTGCTACTACTTGGGAGAAGAGGTTTTTGGGTCCTGTAAAGATTTAGAGCCTTAGAAACCCAAAGGGGCAGTTCTACTTTGTCCTATAATTTCACTATGAATCAGAACTAACTCGACGGCAGTGAGTTTAGTTTTGTTTCTGGTTATTGTAGAGTAATGAGTCCTGGTCACACAGTAGTTAGGCATTCGATTGAAAGGTCAGTGGTTCAAGTCCACCTATGGCTTTACGGGAGAAAGATGTGGCAGCAGTCTGCTTCCACAGAGAATTATAGCCTTGGAAACTTATGGGACAGTTCTAGTGTGTTCCATAAGGTCACGACAATTAGGAGTCAACTTGATGTCAACAGGTTTGTTCGTTTTTTTGTATTATAATTGGGTGGCTTTAAAATGGTTTATTAACATAAAAATAATAAATAAATAATTGGGTGGCTAAACATAATTTCATTAAATGTTCACTGTAAAACAAAGTAGTTTTTAGTTAGTGAATTACCAAATTGCACAAATCTGTAGAATAATATAATTTCTATTTAGTGGGATACTAACCATGGGTGACCTACCTGTTTCTGTCTATAGACAGACCATAGGAATTTACAGGTAATAACTTACCATGGAAAATAAGGAAAATGATAAATGTGGGTGAAAACACACTTTTCTCAATACCTTAGTACTTGCTTATTGCCCATAACTTAGTTCTTCAATAGTGGTTACAATAACTTAACAGTATCCCAATAAAATTTGTCAAAACTCCCCTCATATTAAAGCTCAAGCATCTTATAACAAAGAGAGCCACAGAGAAACTGGTAAACAGGAGGGGTGAGAAAAAAAGAGAATCTTCATCCATTAATTCATAATCTTTATAATCAATAAATGCTAAGGACTAATCAATTCAATAGCAAAAATTAATGTTTGAAACAATAGTGACAGAAGAAAAGAAGTTTGGGTGGTAAGAAAATATTCTTGGAAAAACAAAACAAAACTCACTGCCATCTAGTCAACTTTGATTCAAAGGGGCCCTATGAAATCTAGAAACAGGTCTAATTCCTCATGACCTCTGCACACGGAAGCACAGGAGACTCTTCTACAGAGGAGATGGGAAGAAGGCAGAGCAAGAGCTCCTGTTATAGACGGAACTGTTTCCTCCCCCAATCCTAACACTCTACCTGTGGATTTGATCCCATTTGGGAAAAGGTTTTTGGTTTTTTCAAATGTTAAGGAGGCCATATCAGTACAGGGTGTGTTTTAAACCAATCACTTTTGTGAACCAGAAGAGCTGACTAAGCACAGATGAAAAAGCTAATAAAGATATCCGAGAAACACCTAGAATAACAGAGAAGCCGAGCCAAGGATTCCTCCCACTCCCCCACTAAGTAAAAAGAAAGCCTTGTTCTAGAGCCCCAAACTCAAACTCACTGCCATCAAGTCAATGTCGGCTCACAGTAACGCTACAGGACAGGGTAGAACTGCCCCTGTGAGTTTCTGAGACTGTTTACTGTTTACAGGAGTAGAAAACCCCATCTTCACGTGAAGCTGCTGGGGTTTCAAACTGCCAACCTTATGGAACAGACACCTGCTAAGTCATTAGGTGCCTTGGTGGCGTAGTGGTTATGCATTGGGCTGCAATCTCCATGGTCCATAGTTTGAAAGTACTAGCCGGAGGCTCTGCTGGAGAACGAATGAGGCTTTCTACTCCTGTAATCAGTCTGGGAAACTCACAGGGGCAGTTCTACCCTGCCCTATGGGCTGTGAGTTGCTGTGAGTCGGCACTGAGCCAATGGCAGTGAGGTAGGTTTGGGTTTGGTTGAGTCGCTACCTTTTCAAAAGGTAGGTAATGCAAAGTTCAGTTCTACTGGCATGCCACCCAAGGTACCATTTTGATTTTAACATGAGAAATATTGCTCATAGTAAACAAAGAAATGCTTATAGTAAAATTTTAAAAATGTGTACGTGTAAATATGCACCAACACATAAGAAAAATCTAAATAAAGAACAACTTACCATTGAGTTTAGGGTTGTCAGTTCTATCAGGGAATCTTATTAGTGGTGTATGTGGCTTGACTACCTAAAGAAAAAATAAAATGCATTAAAAAAAGGAAAAAGATGAAACACTGAAGTCACCTCCTGGTACTAAATGTAAAAGGAATGATCTACAGAACCTTATATATCTTTGATAAAATGAAATACTTTACTTCTTAACAATCAATTTTCTTCTTCCCAACCTGGAATGGAAGGCAGCACAGAAGGACAACCTGAGAGGGAAAGGAAGGATGCTGTAGAAGTCGAAACCAAACCAATGCCCCTGAGTGGATTCTGACCCAGGACAACTCAGATGTTCAAGCAGAAGGGCACCATAAGGTTTTCTCGATTGTAATCATTTTTTTTTTTAAATCATTTTATTGGGGGCTCGTACAACTCTTATCACAATCCATACATCCATCGTGTCAAGCACATTTGTACATGTGCTGCCATCATCATTAAAAAAAAAAAAAGTTCTTTCTACTTGAGCCCTTGGTATCAGCTCATTTCCCCCCTCCCTCATGAACCCTTGATAATTTATCAATTATTATTTTTCATATCTTACACTGATGTCTCCCTTCACTCACTTTACTGTTGTCCATCGCCCTGGGAGGGGGTTAGAGGCGGATCATTGTGATCGGTTCCTCCTTTCTCCCCCCACCTTTCTCTTCCCCTCCTGGTATGGCTATTCTCAGTATTGGTCCTGAGGGGTTTATCTTCCTGGATTCCCTGTTTCCAGGCCTTATATGTACCCATGTACATGATCTGGTCTAGCCAGATGTGTCAGGTAGAACTGGGATCAGGATAGTGGGGGTGGGTGGGTAGGAAGCATTTCAGAACTAGAAGAAAATTGTATGTTTCATGGGTGCTACACTGTACCCTGACTGGCTTGTCTCCTCCATGAGACCCTTCAGTAAGGTGTCCAGTTGCCTACAGATGGGCTTTGGGTCTCCACTCCATACTCCCCTCATTCACAATGATTTTTTGTTCTGGGTCTTTGATGACTGATACCTGATCCTATCAACACCTCATGATCACACAGGCTGGTGTGCTTCTTCCATGTGGGCTTTGTTGCTTCTCAGCTCGAGGGGCGCTTGTTTATCTTCAAGTCTTTAAGACCCCAGATGCTTTATCTTTTAATAGCTGGGCACCATCAGCTTTCTTCACACATTTGCTTATGCATCTGCTTTGTCTTCAGTGATTGTGAATGCCAGGTTAATAGAACAAAGTGTTCTTGTATTGAAGGAGTACTTGAGTAGAGGCCCAATGTCCTTCTGCTACCTTAACACTAAACCTATAAATATACGCATATAGATCTATTTCCCCATCCTCATATATAAATATATTTACATATATACATGCCTGTATTTAGACCTCGATAAATGCCCTTTGCCTCCTAGTTCATTGCTCTATTTCCTCTTGTCCCACTATCATGTTCAGCCTTCATTTGGGTTTCAGTAATTTTTCTTGGTTACATTGCCCTTGATCAAGCTCTACCAGGCCTCCTACAGCCTCCTTGCCATCGATTTTAGATCACTCGTTCTTCCCTTGTTCCTGGGTTTGTTAACACCTAGTTCCTTTCCCCCCCTCCCCCTCACCATGTCCCCCTCACAGAACAGGTGGTACCATTGTTTTCTCCTCTGGATTGTTTATCCCACCTATCTTATCTAGATAGACATGCAGAGGCAAAAATATGCACAAAACCAAGACAGAGCCAAACAAAGCAACAAAAGAAAACAATAACAGAAAAAATTAATGACAAAAAAGAGAAAAGCCTATAAATAGCTCAAGGTTTGTTTCTTGACCTTTAGGAGTGTTTTCCCAGTTTGATGGGGTGTCACACCCTGGCCCCACAGTCTAATTTTGGTATTCCCTGGGGACTTCATTGCTCTGCTCCCCTTGCTGTTCTGTTGCATGCCCTTAGTGTTTCACCTCTGTGTGGTGGGGTCAGATTGGGCACCATTCCCACTCTGCCTCCAGTGTTGTCCTCCATGGCGCTGTCAGTGAGAGACGTCCTGTCTCGTGGTGGGGCCAGACCTATGAATCTCCCTGTGCATTGGCTGCTCTGAGCAGGAATACCATCCCTAGGGTTTGGTGGGTCAGGATGTGCTCCACTCTCTCCCTCCCCCTTCGTTTGCTCCTGTGTGCTCTGATCCCACAAGTCTCTCTCCCTGTGCTGTCCTCTGAAGTGAATTCTTCTGAGGGGAGGTGAGTCTGTCCATGTAGTTGGGACTGGGGCTCGTTTGTAATCTTAACAGAAGCAGATCATAAAGTCTTCTGTGGTGCCTTCTGAATGGGTTTGACCTTCCAACCTTTAGATTAGTGCTCAAGGACAAATCTTAGGGTAGAACTGCCCCATAAGGTTTCCAACATTGGAAGCAGAGTGTCACATCACTCACTCTTGAAGTGGTTGGTAGGTTTGAACTGCTGACCTTTCTGTTAGCAGCCAGCAGCTTGGCCACTCCACCACCTGTGCTCCTTAATAAATGCTATTAAAACCCAAGCTCTCTGTAATTGAGATGATTACAACTCACAGGCCTGAAAGTGGGTTTCCCAGACTTTAAGGCTTTATAAGCACAGAGAACTCATCTCCCTCCCCTGGAGCAACTCAAGAATTTGAACCACCAGCCTTGGGGTTATCAGTCCAATGCTTATCCCACAGTACCACCAGGGCTTCTTTAATAATGCCAGAGAGATTACTTTTATAAAAATATTATTTATTTCAATAGTATTTGAAAAACATACTATTTGGACTGGACTAATGGTTTCTTGGGATATGGTAGGGGAGGTTTGGGGAGCTAATAACAAGAAGTATAAGAAAGAAGAAAATGTTCTAAAATTGTGCGGTAATGACTACACAACTCTTCTTGATATGATTGAACTACTGAATTGTATGATATGTGGATTATGTTCCAGTAAAGCTTTAGAAAAAAAATAGTACTTGGTTTAAGAGATTCCTAGCATTGTGGATTCAAGGGATTTCATAATGATGGATCCATTTATGGTTCTTGATATTATTACATGAGTCCTGGTAGTGCTATATAGGAGCCCCGGAAGCACAGTGGGTTATGCATTGGGCTGCTAACCACAAAATCAAAGGTCCAAACCCACCAGATGTTCTACAGCAGAAGATGAGGGTATGTGCTCCCATAAAGATTTACAGCCCAGGTGGCCCTGTGCAGGATTGCTGAGTTGGAATGGACTTGATGACAGTGTGTCTGGTTATGTATAACAGTATTACCGAGGTTCAACTCAATGCCATCCAGTCAATGCTGACTCACAGCAATCCCCTATGGGTTTCCGAAACTAACTGCTTACGGGAGTAGAAAGCCCAGTCTTTCTCCTGAGGAGCTGCTGGTGGCTTCAAACTGTCAACCATGCCCACCGCAGGATAACATGACTCCTGTGATTACAATGGGAGAGACTTAAATGGACCCATCAGTGTGACATCCCGAGCACACAATACAATTTCACACATCAGTGCGAAATCCCCTGAACACACAATCTAACAGTGAACAAATTTTAATTAATTTACAAAATGTGGTGTGACTAAAGAACCTGTGGTGTGTTTATACGTTTGAAATGGACACAGAAGTAAATCAACTTGTTGGGGCTGACCTGAAAATGCACCACTATGATTTAACTGTGGTGAGGAAATGGTGGGATGGTTGTCTCCCTCAGCAAGATGGTATGCTCAAGACTCCCAGGCTAAACCATCAAAGGAGCGCTCTTCCAGAATAACTGCTGTTTCTCTCCTATAGCCAAGCTCTCTGAAGGACTGTTCTGTCCTAGCTGGCCCTCTTGTTACATTTTCAACAGCTTTCAGGGTCAGTTCAGTCTCACTTGGCACTCACCAGCCCCATCTCGAGCTGACCTCTCCCTGCTTCTTTCTCCATCCTCACTTCCCACTACTCCCACACGCCTTTTTACTCCTCATATTCTCAAGTACTTTTCACTTCCCAAATGTATCATGCCATTCCCATTTTATTTGCAGTGTGCGCCCTCTGCCAGGAATCTGCCCTCCACCCTACCTCCCATTCACCTGAATGCTTATTCTTTTAAACACAGCTCAAATGTCATTTCTAAGACGTTTTCCTTGATTACAAAATCTAGTGGAAAAGGGCTCCTGGGTAAAACATTCAAAATTCTGGAGGATTTGGAAGTTGTGGCCTTTATACTAAAGGTCAGAGTAGCTAGATATAAGATGTGTTTCAGTTTTTCTTTCCTTCGATAGCATAAACATGTTATTCATGTGTTTGTTTTATGAAGCAGTATTGTTGAAAATGCTGAGGACTCTCTTTCCCATTTGTGAGCTTCGTCTTGCTGCCTAGAGCACCACAGAATTCCCCCCACTTTTAAATTTAATGATTTTCAGGTGGTCTTCATCTATCAGAAAGAATGTCTGAGGTCTTAAAGGCTTGAATTAAAATAAGCAGTTATCTGAGTGAGATGTCAGCTAATTCCAAACAGAAGGAACACACCAGCCATGGACTTTAAATGATAAAATCCAAAATTAGAGGGGCAAATTGTATTAGAGCTTAAATTCTGAGCACCTGGTTTGCAGTAGGCTATGGATGGCAATAGAAGCCCTAGTATTTATTACCAGTAGTTACTAATTAAGCTGCAGCCCTCAAAGTCTGAAGTTCAAAAACACCAGCCTCTCTGAGGGAGATAGATAGGACTTTTTTATACTCCCCTAAACAGTCTTGGAAACTCAAGAGTGGCAGTTCTGCTCAGTGGTATCTTCTCAATGGCAGTGTTTGGTTTGGGTTTGAGTTAGATGACAGTGAAAGTCATTTCTATTTGCAGAGTTCTCAAGCAGAGAAGCATCCATTGACCAGGGATGTGAATTAGTTTTGCTCTCAGACAGAGTGCATTGAAAAGTAGATCACTGCAGATACAGTTAGGTTAAAAATTAACATCAGGTTTTCCCTTTTGACCCACTTTCCCCAATACACGGTTTAGGTTCACATCTTCAATCAAAAAATGATTTACTGAATTACAAGTTTTAGAATCTGTTAAATTGTTTCTTTCTTTTGTAGAGACTACTTCTTATACAAAGGAGCCTGGTAGCATGGCAGTTACGAGCTCTGATGGGAACTGAAAGGTCGTCAGCTTAATCCCACTTGCTGTTCTGCAGAAAAAGATGCAACAGTCACTAGCCATAAAGATTACAGCCTTGGAAAATCTAGACCCAGTGGTTCTCAACATTCCTAATGCTGAGACCCTTTAAAACAGCTCCTCATGTTGCGGTGACCCTACAACCATAAAATTACTTCCATTGCTACTTCATAACTGTAATTTTGCTGTTATGAATCAGGCAAACCCTGTGAAAGGGTCGTTCAACCCCCAAAGGGGTAGTGACCCACAGGTTGAGAACCACTGGTCTAGACTCTAGAGGCAATGAGGCTTATAAGGTTGTTATGGTCAGCAAACAGAAGTTGAATCGTCTTGCCTTTCATCTACTTCAATTATTTTCCCTGAATCTTTTTAATCTCTTTTTTCATTACTGTGATTTTTGTCTTCATTTTCCTTTTTATCCAAAATTTTATCATGATTTCCATGGTGCTTATTTACTGTTCTCGGGAGAAAGACAAGGGTTTCCACTCTCGTAAAGTTATAGTCTCAGAAACTCACAGGGGCAGTTGTATCCTGCCTAGAGGGTCACTGTGAGTCAGAATTGATTGGATGGCAGTCAGTTTGGTTTTTTTTTTTTAACTGTTCTATGTTTCTTCTAGTTTACTGTTCACTTATGAATCTTCTCTCTTTTTTTTACTGAGCTCAACACTACTGCTAAGTGCCACTGAGTACAACAGAAAGACAAGCCATCCAGTCCTGCACCATCTTCACAATTGTTGCCATGTTTCAATTCTTTATTGCAGCCACTGTGTTGATCTGTTTTACTGAGAGTCTTCCACTTTTTTGCTGACCCTCTACCAAGTATGACATCCTCCAGGGACTGGTACCCCTCAATAACATGCCCAACGTACATGAGGTGAAGGTCACCAGCCTCACTTCCTTCCAAGGGGCATTTCAGCGTGCTACTTCCAAGACAGATCTGTTTGTTTTTCTGGCAGTCCATGGCATATTCAACATTCTTGTCAACAGCATAATTCGAGTGTATCAATTCTTTGGTCTTTCTTATGTACCACCTGGATTTCGCATGCATATGAAGTGACTGAAAAATACCACAACTTGGTGCATCTTAGTGCTCAAAATAACATGTGATAATCCATCTGATAGCAGCAATGATATTCTTATTCCATATACTCCTCTGAATCCAGTGAGAATTTCTGGCCGTCCAGTTAATGTACTACTGCTACAGATTTTGAGTGCTCTTCATCAACAATTTTACTTGGGTGTGATATTAATGGTCTTATCCAATAACTTCCACATACTGTTAGATCACTTTTCTTTGGAATTAACAGTTTGGCTCTCTTCCATTCGATTGGCCAGGTCTCACAGTTTTTTTGGCTGTAGCCAAACCCACTATACCCAAACCCACCACTATTGAATCAATACCAATTCATAGAGGGTTTCCTGAGGCTGTAAATCTTTTGGGGAGCAGAAAGCCCCATCTTTTTCCAGAGGAGCAGCTAGTGGGGTTCATACTGACCTTGTGGTTTAGCAATTCAATGTCACCAGGGTATGTACCATCCCTAAAATCTTAACCTAAAACCTAACCCCAGCTACCTCTTCTTCCCTGAATTACTTCATCAATCAGCTTCATCAAGTCCTTCAATTCCTTGATTGTTGCCTTCTCTCCCAATCAGTTCCTGACTTTCCTTCTGTTCTTATCCAGCCTAGAACCTAGAGTCCTTCAACCCTTCTCTTTTCAGCATCTTTATTACTGGGCCCTTATTTTCACCTCACCTATAAATTCCAAACCCTGAATTAAGCCAAGCACTCTTGTGCTCCCCCTAAGGCTGAGATAGCCGCCACACCATATCCTAAATGGCCAGCTATCACCTTTCTGCTCTGACACCACCCCAAGCAAATCAAATGTATAGTGCTTGGCCTTCAGCAGGCATTTCATGAATACCTTGAACTTACTCTTCTAAAATGACTTGTGTAGTCCCACCAGACGTTTCCACTGAAGATTTCCCAACAGTTGGTAGAAGTCTGTTGAATCACACAACTCTTTCTTCAAGGTCTGGGCAACATGCAGACTGTAAGCTCCATTGAGGCAGCAGTAGCTATTTTGCCAGACACCGAGTATAGGCCTGGCACAGAAGTACTCAAGAAATGTTGCTAGTACTTCATGTAATCACTTAATATTAGCACACATGGCTTTGCACTGTGACTATTTGAATACAGGTCTTTGCTGCCGTTAAAAGGGTCCAGATCATTCTTATCTTGGATAAGCAGCTATGAACATTCTTATACAACTCTTTTTGTAGATGCACTCATTTCTCCTGGGTGTAAACCTAAGAGTAGAACTGCCGTTAAAAGGGTCCAGATCATTCTTATCTTGGATAAGCAGCTATGAACATTCTTATACAACTCTTTTTGTAGATGCACTCATTTCTCCTGGGTGTAAACCTAAGAGTAGAATTGGTAGGTCATAGGGCAATCTTTATTTAACTTTACTAGAATTGACAGTATTCTTAAGCGGCTATAGACCCACCAACAAAGTACAGTACTTCAAATGATTTCAAGTGTTTCATACTCTCGTCCAAGTGCCAGTACCAGTCTTAAATAATATCCCTTTTCCTCAATTCCTTTACTTCGCTAGTTGCCAGACGCTTGGAAGGATGGGGAGAACCATTCCCACGGGAGGACGCGGCCCGCGGAGCCAGCGCTACAGCCAAGCCCAAGTCCTTGAAGGGACACTGGGTTGGAGTCGGGGTTCGCTTCCCGCCCCTCTCCGCTACCTCCTTCCTTCCGATTGGCTGATCCGCGACGTCACAGACAACACCGCGCGGCGATTGGCCAGCTATTGCCGAGGCAGGCCAGCCTGTTTTCAGACTCCGAAGGGAGCTAACGAGGTACCGGCAGAGGATAGTTCAAGGACCCCGCCGCCACGCTGCGCCCACTCAGAAGAAGCCGCACTCCGCGGCGGGCTCCCGCCCTCAGCTCGGGACCCCGGCTCACAGCCCCGCCGGCTCCAAGGTCTAATGGTCACACACACCCTCGGGCGCCGCCGCCGGCCCTCCTCAGGCTTGCGGACACGCGACAGGCTTCTTCCTGCATGGCCCTTCCTGCCCCGCGCCGCTGCTTTACTCAGCACCCTCCCCGCAGCCCACGGGGCCGAAAGTCAATAGAATCGCTTTACCTGAACGACCCTGCTGGCGGACGCCATCTTGCTGCCCATCACGACCCCCTCAGTAGGGGCCGCTTCCGGCGCGCGTGAGAGCCGCAGCGAGCACTAGAGCCGCGGACAGCCGGGGGCGGGGCCCTCCCACGACGTCACGGGGAGGAGCCAGCGGGCGGCGCGACGGACTCGCCCCACCTCTCCTGCCTGGTCTCGCCCTGCCCCTGCCCGGACCCACGTCATTCACCAGTGTTTTACTTGGCTCGCGAAGTTGGGAAGTGACGAGTTGGAAAGTGAAGATTTTTGCCTTTTAGTCTTAGCAGCCGGCGAATGATCTAGGGCCATTTACAGCTAGCCAGCTTACAATTTCGGAATGGTCAAAACCTCAACCTGAGACCAAATAGTACAAGTTCTTTAAAAAGTTAGGCAAGCTCAGGAAGGGCAGTCTAGTCAGCGTAGGGCCGCCTCACCTTCGTTTCCTAGAAGCCCTGGGGAGGCCTTGTGGTTAAGAGTTAAGCTGCTAACGGAAAGGTCAGCGGTTAGAATCCACCATCATCTCTGAGGGAGAAAGATACGGCTGTCAGTTTCCAGATTTATTTTGTCCAAACATTCAAGAAGCCTTGGTGAAGCTGTTGGGTAAGCATTAGACTGCTGACCCCTGATCCGATGCTCCGCAGGAGCATGATGCGGTCCACTCCTGTGCAGAGTTGCAATCCTCTACAGGGTTGCTGTGGGTTGGAATCCACTATGTGAATAAAGTGGGCAAAAGTTTTAGTAGGGGGGTGGTTGTTCTGTGTTCTCTTGTTTTATTTAAACATAGAGTAAATATGCTTCAAAAGGAATGAAGGAGGTCCCCCTCCTGGGTTGAAGACCTCTAAAGTTTAGATAAGTAGAGAACAAAGTGGGTCCCCCTCGCCAGTGGAGACGGGAAGCTGTCTCGGGGAACGTGTCTTGATTTGAAAGGCACATTCAAGGGGATGGAGATCACAGGTCTGCGGTTGTGCAGCTAATTTATTCATTCAGTCCTGCATATTTTCTTTCAATTTTATCTTGGCTCTGGGTCAGAGTATTTCAAATTTATCTCTGAATAAATTTCTGATTTATTACAGTTCTGTGTCAGGATGCTCACTCGGTATTCACCAGGACCAGGCCTCAAGACCAACATGTTTACCAGGCCTGTTCTTTAGGGCCCATTATTCATTCCCTTATCAGGTAGAAATCCCATTCAGTCCTTGTCAGTAGTGTTGTAAGGCAGCCACCTGGAGGGCCCACATTGTCTGGTCACCATTGCCAGATTACAGAAACCAGGTGGATTCAAAAGGTTTTAAGTTTTATTTCACATGCATGGGAAAGAACCAAGGGACCCTTCCTCCAAATGCCAGACTCCGGTCCCTTTGTTCTCACAGGATATAAATACAGGCTGAGTGAAACCGTTCTTTCAGACACAAATCTTGCAATGACAGGTAAATGAAAAAAGCTGTGTGAAGAATAAACGTGGCATGAAACTTTATAGCTTGCATATCCAAGTTTCTGTAACGTTCACCAAATGACTGGGTGGGACTATGCCAGTGGGGTTTGTGACGCTAATAGAGGGGGGCTGATCCACTTTCATTACCACCCCTCTGGCTACAAGTCATCTTTGAAGCACTGGGGAGACGTCCCTGAGAATCTTGGAAGGGCACATTCCAGTGGCTGAAGGCGCTGAGTCAGCCTGTGGCACAGAGGTTCTGAGTAGCACCTAGTCTATGGGATACCATCTCCTCATCTGACTTGTGGCACTATGGGACAAAAAGACACTGGGCCACCTCCCTGGGCCAGGAGAGGCAAAGGCCAAGAAAGACCATGTGGCTAAGAAAGTGAGGACCAGAGACTCAGCGGGCCAATGACTGTATCCTTACTGTCGGCTGATCCTGACTTGTAGTAACCTGTTGACTTGCTTAATAAACCCTCTTAATCGTGAATATGGTCTGAGTTCTGTGTGGCCACTGCAACAAATCATCAAACCCAGCATAGATGTCGAGTTGGTGTCACAATAGGTATGGAAGGATGGAGCATGGAGGATTGTTTGACCCTTTCCTTGTGGCCAAAGGGGAGGTGAGCTACGGCCCTCCATCACTGTTTAAAACAATGTATATAATGTGTTTCTTAAGGCTGCTCTAACCAAAATACCCCGTGAGTGATCTTAACTAACAGAAATTATTTTTGGTTTAAAAGGCTAGAAACCCAAAATTCAAGGCACCAGTTCTAGGGGCAGACTGTCAGTTCGGGGTGAAGTTGTTTGTCACAACTTTTATAGCCCCAGCCTTCCTCACTTCCTTGTTCTTCACAAGGCATCCATCTTTTCCCCTTTTGCATTCCCTTCACATAGTCTCATTAACTTAACAGAGAAAACTCTATTCCCAAAAGGGAATAAATCCATAGGCATAGGAGTTGGGATTCAATACAATATTTGAGGAAGACACAATTTAATGCCTAATAGTGCTGCATTTTCAGGAAAGGGAAGGATTAAAACAATATATATTTTATTGTATCAGTATAAGCAAAGAGGATACCCAATGGCGCAAGAAATCAAATATGCCCAACCGGAAATGAAGCTGAGCGGAAGATCACGTGACTGTTCTGGCCAGTGACCCTGAACAACACCGATGCATTTATGCTAAGATAAAGCCATGACCTTTCTCTCTCCAGAGTGCCACAAGAGTTTCCTAACCTGCAGAGGACGTTGCACAAATGAAAAACAAAACTTTCTTGTGCTAAACTGAGATTGCTGGGGTCATTTGTTGAAGCGACTGTGATCAGGGTTGTAAGTGGAAAGCTGTCACACAAAAGCCTTGACTGTGTGTGGCTTGGTGGTGAATCTACAGCCAGAAGGTGCCAAATCAAAGAACTCTTTGTTGGGCCTAAATATTTTGAAAGGTTTCTCCTATGCTTTCCTTTACGTGTATAGTTTTACACTCCATGTCTAAGTCCATGATCATTGTGAGTTAATTTTTATATCCAGTGTGATGGATGCCTGGATGGAGGTTCTTTTTGTTCATTTAAGGATCCCACTGGCTCCGCGCTCCACTGAACTGCTTGTGTACCTGTGTCAAAAACCAGGGGCTTCACCAAAATGGAAAACCTTTCTCCTTCAACATGTAAAGAACCCTTCTGCTTCAATTAAAAAACACAAAGTAACGAAGATGGGGGACAGGGTCTGGATGGACATTCCTCCAAGGAATATATACAAACAATCAGTAAGTACATCATTTGTCATCAGGGAAATGCAAATCAGAAGTCGGGGATTTAAAAAAAAAGTAGTGGATGCTGAATAAGAAATACCACTTGTTAAAGTCTCCCATCCTCCCACCAGAAATGACCACGTGTTCATCCTTTGGCCATGCTTGTCTAGCATATTTGCTAGACAGACAAATGTACAGGAGTATTCCAAACAAGACTCAAGGCCGCCAGAAATAGTGCAGAAAACAGCGTGGCTCTTCATGGAAGCTGGTCCAGCGCGTCTTTTAGCAGTCTGCCAACTCAAAGGTTTTCAGATTCCTTCTATACTTTGTCATTACTCTAATTACCCTTAAAACAATAGATGCAAAAAAATAATAACAGATGCCATGTTGTCATGAGAATTAAAAAAAAATTTTTTTATACAGTACAGAACAGTTCCCAAACCACTAACAATACATTTTCACTTGAAATCTACTTAGATGGTATTTTTAAAATGCTAAAGTAGGAAGTCTTATTAGATCATGGTGAGATTCTTTTCAAGATTCAGAACAATTTCCTTTAAGGCAGGAATCTCTGCCCAGTTGACTTTACTCCCCAAAATGAGGTTCTGTAATTAAAAAGAAATAAAAATTAAGATATAGGTACTTAAAAAAAATTACACAATTTTAGAAACATCGTTTCCTGACTTTCAATTTATGGTGAGTGAAGAATCAGGGCAGAGTTGTGTGCAGGGTCACTATGACTCAGAACCAACTGGACCACACCTAACAGCAGCACAGCCAGGTATTATAACTGCTATCAATAAGTTGTACACTTGTGAAAAGCTGAACTGGCAAAATGTGGTGTGACATATATTTATCACCCAGTGAAGACTAAATAAGAGTAGCCATTGAGCCTGCTTAATATAACTAAACAGCTCATGGGACTTAGTTCCATGGGATACTGAAAACCCAAACTCCCTGTCATCGAGGTAATCCTAATTCAAAAATCCTTGTGAGTCCATGGGAGAGCACTGTTAACTGGCCTATTAAGTGTTTAATGTTTCTAGTTTATTGTGCAATGCCTCTCTAGGCTTATAAGCAACCATCTAAGACATAATAATTGGTCTCTAGTTGCCTGAAAACCAAAACCCAAACTCACTGCCATTGAGTCAATGCTCGCTCATATTGAGCCAGTGTAGGTTTACGAGACTATTAACTGTTCTCGGGAGTAAAAAGCCCAGTTTTTCTCTGTTGGAGCTGCTGGTGGTTTCGAACTGTTGACCATGCAGATCACAGCCCACCAGGGAGCAACAAAGGAAGAAGAAAAATCAGGTACGGGAGGAAGAAATGCAATTTGTGACTAAATGCCTCCTTTGTCAGGAGAGCAGAAGAACTGAATGGTGTTGGCTACATTACTGCACATTCTCATCAGACCTTCTCTGGGAGGATCCTGGCCACAAGGGGAAAATGTAGAACAGAATGTCAAATTCTTATGATGGACTCCAGATTTTCTGGAACCATGGAGGCTAGACGAACCAGTAAAACTAGAATCCTGAGATAATTTTCAAACTTCAAACCAAAATTATTTATCTCATAGCATTATCTTAAAATGAACACTAGCTTAGCTGGATAATAAAGAATGCTTGCTTTGAGCATTAGCCCTTTCAAAATCTATCTTTGTGAGATCAAACTGACAACAGCCTTGAAAGATAAGATAGGAACCCCCCCGCCCCACAGTGAGTTAATGTTAGTGGAGAAGAATAACTCAGAGGAGGGTGAGAATACTTGCACAACTAAAAGAATGTAATCGACGTCACCAAGTTGTCTTTGTAGACACTGTTGAATTGATGAATATTTTGTTATGTATATTCACAACAAAATAAAATTTAAAAAAAATCGTAATGCCAGGGAATATTTTAATGTTTACATTAATCATGCTTTATCAGTGACTACAGTTTTTACTTGTGAAAAGTATTTGCAGTGCTACTCTAAATTAGAAGAAAAAACAGTGCTACTCTAAATTAGAAGTAATAGGTTAGAGTTAAATTTACATTTCCCTGGTAGAAAGCAGTCACTTTAACTTAAATAATATTCCCTGTTTTAAGGGGTAAAAGAGGAGCTGATACCACAGGCCTCTCAAAGACCTACAAAATAAAGTCAAGACTATTTTTGTGTTATATGAGAAAAGAATCGTTATGATACTATCTAATGAAAATTCAGGTTTTTATTATTTTAAATACTAAGATGCATTGCTACTGAACTACTTATTCAATACTGTTTAAAAAAAGATTTTAAAATATAAGGATTAAGTTGTTACACATAAAATACTATAACTTTGGCCTATACAAAAACACTCTTACTTATTCTCTCATTAATAAATGAAAGGGTTAGAGTAGATTCTGACTCACAGGGACCTTACAAGAACAGAGCACAGCTGCCCCTTTGGGTTTTCAAGACTGTAACTCCTTAAAGGAGCACAAAGCCTCACCTTTCTCCATAAAAGTGGCAGGTTGGTTTCAATGGCTGAACTTGTGGTTAGCAGTGCAACACAACTTACTACACCACCAGGGCTCTTAATGAAGGACTAGTATATGAGAATCCAATCCAAGTACAAAGGCAGGTATAAGTAAGCATGTGAATGAGTCCTGGTGGCGGAGGGGTGACAAACTGGGCTGTTAACTGCAGTCAGCAGTTCAAAATCACTAGCCGCTCGGTGGGAGGGAGGGAGGGTCACTAGTGTAAAAGTGAGTCTTGGAAACCCACTGGAGCAGTTCTACCCTGTCTCACAGGGTTACTCACTAGGAGTCATAATTGACCGGATGGGATGGCAAGGAGTTTGGTTTTCTGGTTTGGAACTCATAATGGTTAATCTTAGGAACAAAGTTTCTAGAGTCAAAGCCAAGTTCTAGTTAACAAAGCGATGACTTCGTTATATCAAAATAAGCATTAACTTACAGAATATGAATAAAAATGCAAAATAATAGAAGCCTCCAAGCAGCACGAGGGATCGTGTGCTAAAGAAAAGTAAAAAATGAATCAATAGCACTGAATTAGGCATGTCGAAATTATTAAATTGGAAAAGGTTTTGTTGTATATATTTTTGCCACAATTAAAAAATATTATTACACAAATAGCAATGAGTACAAGGAAGAAAATGTTCTAAAATTGATTTTGGTAATGACTGTACAACTCTTCTTGATATGACTGAGCTATTGAATTGCATGGTATATGGATGAAGTGCTAATGAAACTGTAAAAAAAAAAAGAAAGAAAAAAAATTCCTGGGGGACGGATAACAGAAAAGTGGGTGAAGGTAGATGTCAGACAGTATAAGATATGACAAAATAATAATTTATAAATTATCAAGGGTTCATGAAGGAGGGGGGAGCAGGGAGGAAGGGGGAAAATGAGGAGCTGATGCCAGGGGTTTATGTGGAGAGCAAATGTTTTGAGAATGATGAGGGTATCGAATGTACAAATGTGCTTTACACCATTAATGTATGTATGGATTGTAATAAGAGTTGTATGAGCCCCCAATAAAATGATAAAAAAAGAGAGAAAACTTGTTTAAAAAAACAACAAAAACTGATACATGTTAAAACATTAAAAAAAAATTTCACTAACACACACAAAAAAAGAAAAGCAAAACGATTAAGATTCAGGAAAAAAAAGTCTTATGATAAGATAGGAAACCTCATATTTTATAAGTCAGCTTTAAATATAGTAGATAGTATTTAACTCTTTATCTTACTTAATTGGAAATGTAGCAATTTAAATATTTCATCTCAACCATTCCGGACATTCCATTCCATTACTTTTTACAACTTAAAAAGTAACGATAAACCTCCATAATACTTGGAACTGTAAAACTGACATAAAAGCAACTGCCAACTTTTATTGAGAATTACTTGAATCAGACATCAAACAGATTTATCTAGATTAGTCACAACACCACTCTTTATAAAAAAGAACAGGATAAGATAGTTAGAAAATGTGACATAATATGCTCAAAAGCAGTCGCTTGTAAACAGCCAGCATCTTAATTGCTACCACTCACCCCAAGCCCACCTCCTTTCCCCAAACACACTCAACATTTGAGTCTGGAGCTCTCCACCATTCTACCGTGCTGCTTCCAGAGAGGCTGACGTCATTCTATTTAGAAGTATTGAATATCTACAATAGTGTGGAAGGCCTTAAACATCTAATAAACATGAATTCTAGATACATGGAACCAGATTTATAGATGGCACTGAATTATTTTATCATGACCTAAATATAAGAATATTCATAATGAAAAGTAAATCAACATGACACGATTGGTGATTTTTCAAGTGTTTGTTTCTTTGAACATTAACTATCTCCTCAATTTTCAGGCTTGACTATTACCTGAAACACATGCTGAACAACTGTAGTAATTTGTATCTCCTTCTGGAGGCTTTGTCGTACGTCCTTTAACATGCCCGAGTTTTCCATACTCTCCAAAATATTTTTCTGTTTGTTTCTTTCAGTTTGCATTTCTAAAAGCTTACTTGCTGAAGCTTGCTTTAATTCTGTTAGGTAGAAAAATTATTTACAAAAATATACACTATATACAACATAACTCTACATGCAAAGAATATGAAAAACCTTATCAGGGCATTTCCTGGTTTTTTAGGAGAAAGGTTTTAATGAATAGCATTTTAAGTTGGAATTCTACTCTGATCTGACAATGACAATGCCAGCGGAAAATTCCAACTTGCTACTTTCATAGGCAGTCCCTGGAAAATAATGAGCTCTGTTCCCAAGTCTGCCTTTAGGTTGAATTTGTACATTGATTGGAAATTAGAAATGGGCTTGTATCTAACAGGCAAATGTTTGTTGTACTATATAGTATACCTTTCTACCCATAAAAAATATTAAAGATACGCCTGCAGAAACACTAAAACACCTTTAACATAATAGTACTCATAATACAGTAATGTTTCGATGCACTTTGCAAAGCGCACAGTTGTCATTGGGAGACATTGTATGGACTTCAAAATTTTAATTTAATAGGCTTCACAAGGGTTGGCTATATAACTATGGATTGTACCTATGTCGGATGTTATTCAGGGATTGCTTGTACTTAAAAACACCCTTTGTGAAATGTTCAAGGTGCTTACGAATAACAAATATACTGATGACATGTGTGAGGTATTTATAAGTGACAATGATGCCAACAGTGGTAGAAGGGTTATTCTGAGATGTCAACATACATACATCTATGTATATGTATGTATATAAATAGAGAAAAGGAAACATTTTTCCTCCTTTAATTATAAAATAACACCTGGCAAGGTAAGAGAAAATGTCCTTCTCTAGGACTACACACCATTGATGGCTTTTTAATATATCCCAGAATGGTCTAATAATTATACAAATCTAAAATGCAAATGAGTGTAATTCTATAATGTTAATGGGTGTGTCCAAATGAGTTTGAAATGTAATGGGAAAAACTGAGCATCAAGAGTGAGTATATCTTTTTTTTTTAAACAAAATAAGAAAAACCAAGAGATTATATCAGATAAGAAAAGGTGACTGGATCAGATGGTTGAGATTGTTCACTAAAGGGCAAGTCAGTGTATTATTTTACAAATTAATAAATCCTACTTATACTGTTAAAAATATAATATAAACTAAAGCCAATTTTATTTTAGGGGCAATATGCACTAAAGGCTGATTATATCTTGCTGGTAAAATAAAAAATAAACCAACCCAACTTTTCTTTATGTATTTTTTTCCCCAACTTTTCTTATATATACACTTTTACTTCCGCATGTCCTAGAGAGAACATGGATTATTTCTGAAGTAAATATTTCAATAATTACCACACAAAACGTCATCTTATGTTCTTGATAAACTAAGTAAGAAATCTGCGCAATCACAAGTGCCATATATTCTTGTGTATAAGCCGAGTTTTCCGGCATGTTTTTAATGCAGTTTTTGTGGTAAAATTAGGTGCCTCGGCTGATGTTCAGGTCGGCTTATATTCAAATATATACGGTATCCACTGTGTGTGTCCATATTCATTTATATAGGCAGGGAAAAGGGTGAAAGGGAGAATAGAAGGAGGAATGACTTGCATATTACACTTTAAAAACAATTGAGTTATAAGAACACATCATACAATCCAATAGTTCGATCATATCAAGAAGGGTTATATAATCATCATCACAATCAATTCTGGCACCTTTTCCCCTTCTTTTACCCTCTGGTGTTGATCATCTGACACTTTTTGGGGTTACTTAATTTTTACGCCCACCAGGGACAATAATTTTACTGTTTAAAATTGTTAACAAACAAAAACAAAAGATGCCTTTCATCTCATATTTTTAAAATTGATAAATATTAAAATTTTATATTGAAAATTAGGACATTTCTCATTGGCTGAGCAACCTGACCTTATTAATCTCCATAGTAAGGGTTCTACATAGCATGTTCTACAATTAAAAAAAAGAGAGAAGAAAGTGTTCTACATACGTAATCTCTTTTTTCTAACAGCAAGCAGTTTTTCCTCTAAGTCCCAAGATTCCTATTATGAAAAATTTTTAAAAGCATATTATCTAAGAAGAAATCTGTAACATTTAAATGACTGTATAAGAGGGCTTCAAGAAAATCTATGGAAAAATTCCATTATCGTTCAATTCCACTTTTCCACAAGCTTTTTATAAAACCTCTCTTTGTATTTTATCTATTAGTTTATATTGTCTAAAGCACTTTAAGAATGGACTCTGTTCTACACAATAAAAGGGAGAGGACAGTGCATGAAATTCCGACCAGAAAATGAGCAACAATAAGAGCACGAGAGAAAGAAAGAAACTTAAGCACAGTAGATTCTAACCATACTGGTTTCTTTGAGCCACCCTATTTAAACCTATACAGTACAGTTATCAGCAAGACCTAGTCACTGAAATCATGAAAGCAAAACTGTCTAATGTACAAGCTTACCTGCTGTGATGCTGTTATTGATTTATTTAGCTTTAATATATGTTTCATGTTATCGATAAACAAACTGAAAAAGAAATAAAATTATGACTTAACTTTAAAAATGAGTTTACTTTTGTATTACAAGGTCTTCATTTAACAAAATCAATCTGGAAGTTTCATGAAAACTTAGTGCCTGTCCTTGCACTACAATGAGTTTCTCTTATAGCCAGCATTTTTAGTTCTTAGACTTTAATTCTATAAAAAGTGATTGATTGGGATATAGCCTGCTCTACACTTGGTTTATTTTATCTACCTTGGCAAACTTAGCAGACAAGTGGTGGGTGTGATTATTTGTAGGTAAGAATTTACTCCTGCCATTTTGTTATACTTTTTTTCTTGTGGCATCAACAGCTTTATTCTTCGATAATGTCTTTGCTGCGTGTTTTTGGTATATGAATTTTATTTGACTTTCACTTATTACTATTGTTTTGGTATTTGGTGCCTTTTTTTCTTTATTTTTGTGGACAGATTTATTAGTTTTATTTGTGACTATTCTGAAGTTTATACTTATCCTACTGTGAAACCACCTTGACTTTGTCTTTATATGGAAGTTCCGTAACTGGATTATTCATTTCTCATTTTGTTTTGAAGTTGTCGTTTACAACTTACAGTCTTCTGGTTCCCTGTAACCAGTTGGCTTCCTCATTGTATTTTGCTTTTGTGAAGTCTCTACCGGGCGTGGGATCTACAGGATGCTCTCCTATGTCTTTATCTGAGGTCACTGTATGATGTCATTGCTTTTCTCTATTGAGCCTTGGTATCAGCTACTCTTTTTTCCTCCCACCCCACCCCCACCCATGTGAACCCTTGATAATTATTTTCATAACTTACACTGACTGCTGTCTTCCTTCACCTATGGTTTCTGCTGTTTGTCCCCATAGGTGAAGGAGACAGCAGTCAGTGTAAGTTATGTGGGTGGTGGTGGTTATGTGTTGATCATTGAGATCGGTTCCCTCTTCTTTTCCTCCTCTCCCCATCTCCCCCCTACGTTCTTTGTATCGCTACTCCCATTCCTATTCCTGTATTCCATGTGTTCTGAGCTCTTATCTCTTATCTATACCTGTACACATGCTCCAGGATAGCCCGCAGTGGAAGACAGGACTGGGGGGTGAGGAGACCTCAGGGAACCAGAGGAATATTGTTTTTCATCGGTGCTATTCTGCGCCCTAGTTGATTCATCCCTTCCCTGTGACCCTTCTGTGAGCGGATGTGCCATTATCTACAGGTGGGCTTTGGGTCTCCACCTTTGTTCACTTCGATATGATAGTTTTGGATCTTCTGATGCCTGATCCCACTGACACCTCGTGATCACACAGGCTGGTGTGCTTCTTCCTTGTGGGCTTGGATGCTAAAAGCGCCATTAGTCTTTCGGGTTGTGACTAATAAGGACAAGTTGTTGTCATGCTGAGGAGCCCTTCTACAAAAGTTCCCTCACTCCTAAGTTAACAGGGGTTGGTAGTGATAGGGAATGAAAAATACTTCAGAATATTAAAGTCATTAAGCAGTTCTCCCTTACGCAGATCTAAGAATTCCCATCCACACTAAAGCCAGGGGAAAAATTCTTACCTCATCTTGGTGTCGATGTTTTCCAGGTTATTTTCAAGTAGAGCTGAAAGTTTTAACCTATGAAGAAAAAAGCTTGCATTACAAAACATGGACAACATTTATGGTAAATTAAAAAAATTTTAAACCAGAAGTGAAAGATCGATTTCCCTTTAAGCATTAAAGATAAAAGGTAAGTGGGTTTCTTAGCAGTATTGTATGGGGAATATGTAGCTAAATCACCATCATTGTAAAAAACCTAGGAAACATGAAATAAGACTGAAATGGACGGACATTGTGCTTTGTCAGGCTGAGGGCTGAGTGGAATCTGAAACCCAGCAGGGGCTTTGCTCTCTAAATCACCCGCTTTGGTTCAGGGATGGAGGGCTTGTTAGACACTATAGAGATTAACCAGCCTGAAAATATAAAAGGAATATAAGTCACACTTGGTGAGAGAGAAACTTTACAACATGCATACCTATATACCAGCTCCACAAATTACTTTTACATTCACGTTGCTAACAAATAAGAATAAAAAAGCGGTCAGAGCCTCAATAAAATGTTTAAAAGAAAAATCAATCAACTCAAAAATAGGAATTACTTCTTTGCTACCGCACAAAATTTCATTCATTAAAAGGAGGTATCATAATAGCCATGATGTCAGTTTAAAAAAGCCAGCAATATGAAATGGAAAAAGTTCATTTAGAAACACTTATAATTAGTTTAACTACTTTTCAGTGAGATATATGAAGACATTTACCTGGGAAAGCAAGTTATCCATTTTAACGTGGATTATTAATTCAAAACACAAGTCCATAGGAGAACAAGCTGTCTCAAGACCTCTGAGTCATTATGTGTCAGAACTGACTGCATGGCAGTGAGTTTGGTTTGGAACACCGGACAACATCTAACAGCAACAACAACACATTGTGCATTCAGTGCGTAACAGTTATGCATTCAACTGGGAACCAAAAGACAGGTGGTTCGAGTCCACCCAGTGGAAGAGCCTCAGAAGAGGCCTAGTGAACTCCTTCCAAAGATCACCCAAATCCAACCAAACTCACTGCCATAAATTTGATTCCTACTCATAATGAACTTACAGGGCAAAGCAGAACGACAGCTGTGGCTTTCTGAAACCGTAACTCTTCCCTCGGAGCAGCTGGTGGTTTTGAACTGCTGATCTTGAGGTTAGCAACCCAAAGTGTAACCACTAGGCAACCAGGGCTCCGTCCAAAAGATCACAGCAACTGTTTTAGTCCCATGGGGCCAATGTAAGTCAAAATTGACTCGAGGTCAATGGTGGGTTTCTGTTTTGTGTTGACTGTGTTTAAAGTTAAAATGTAGTAATTACCTGTGTAACATAAGAGTTTTCACTTCAAATGCAGTTTTTGCATCTTGAATTTCATTTTCCAGGCCTTCAATTTTACTAAGAAAGAAGCAGAAACAACAGAATTTCTGTAATAGAATTACTAATATTGTCAGAGCAAACCTTTGAAAACATCGTAAGTTGCCTCTATCTAGATAAAGTATTTTATAGGCTCCCCATAAATTTGCAGAATGTCCATTTGCAGATTTGTTAAATCTTATAAGAGGTTAACATAAAATGCTGATGTAACCACTTATGTACATGTAAGTTCTATCAAAATAAACAATCTCCCAATACATGTGTGACAAATTAGGTGGAAAAGAAAAGAAAAACTATGCTCTAAGATAGACAATACCTTAAAATCTAAAATCTTACTAAGAACTGCACACACACAAAATTGAAAAACGTAACCTACGCTTCAATTTGCTCTTCTTGCAAGATTTCCTCTGGAGTTTCTTCTTCATCTAAAATAAGAGTTTTTTGAAGTTACTGACATTTTAGAACAACGTGGTTCAAGAGAAGTATGTTAAGTTAAAAAGAAGCAAACCACATAAGTAATTTTAAATTGCTTATTTCTACAAATAAAAATAAAGAGAAATTAATTTCCACACTTTACTAAATCCAATATACCCCAAATATTGATCAATATATTTCACAAGTATTTATTTCATCTGTGTGTATTTTACACTTATAACACATCTCAACTAGGTCTAACCACCATTTCAAGTGTTCAGTAGCTAGTGGCAACTGTATTAGAACAATTTTAGGATGATAGGAAATTATAAAACCAATCATGTTGGTTAGCATTAAAGAAAAAAGATTAAAGAAAAAACTGCATATAATGGCATCCAAAATCACAAAGTACTTAAGGACACAGTTAACAAAATATGTTAATGACCTCTATACTGAACGTTACCAAGCATTGGTAAGAGAAATGACAGATCTATGTAAATGTAATGATATATACCATGAGCACTTATTGGTTCAGTATTGTTTTGGGGTTCCCCCCCACCTCCCCTAGCTTAGTATTGTTAATGGAACGTTTTTCCCATATTGATTGACTGATCTCAAAAACCCCATCACATTTTGTTTTCTACAGAGATTGGTAAGCTGACTTAAATTTCATAGAGAACTGTAAAGGACCTATAGATAAAGGGTAACAGCTGGAAATTCACAGAAGTTGCTTTCAAGACTTATTCTAAAGCTACAGTAATCAAGACAGTGTGGTACTGGCCTAAGATAGAAAAATACTTTCATGGACCTGAGAAGGGAGAGCCCAGAAGAGATCCATATACACTAACAAACTCACTGCCACGGAGTCGTTGGTCTTATAGTGACCCTACAGGGCAGGAGAAAAATGCCTTTGTGAGTTTCTGAGCACCTAACTTTTTATGGGAGTAAAAAGCCTCCTCTTTTTCCTGTGGGGTGGCTGGTGGCTTTGAACTGCTGACCTTGAATACAGTAGCCTAATGAGTAGCCACTACACCACCAGGGCTCCTTCCATACTAGGGGGCTTCAAAAAATGGTGGACAAATATAGTGACCCTATAGGAAATTAGTGAAACTGTCCCATAGGGTTTCAAGGCTGCTAACTTTTATTGATGCAGCTTAACAGATCTTTCTTTTACAGAGTGGTTGGTGGTTTCAAGCTATAAACCTTTGAGCTGGCAACCAAGTGCTCGACCATTGTGCCACAAGGACGCCAGGCCTAAGTGTTAAAGCTAAAATTATGAAATCCTAGAAAGAGCATAGGAGAAAATATGTGTGACTTGAAGGTAATTAGACATTTCTTAAATAGGTTTAAAAAAAAGACTACCATAGAAGATTTTAAAAATCAATAAATTGGGTTTCATTAAAATTAAACCCCTCTGGACAGTGTAAGGTATGACGAAATAATAATAATAATTGATGAATTATGAAGGGTTCATGAGGGAAGGGGAAGTGGGGAGGGAGGGAGAAAAATGAAGAGCTGCTCAAGTAGAAAGTAAGGGCTCAAGTAGAAAGTAAATGTTTTGAGAATGATGATGGCAACAAATGTACAAATGTGCTTGACACAGTGTATGTATGGATGGATTGTGATAAGAATTGTACGAGCGCCCCCAAAAATGATTTTTTAAAAAAATTAAACCCCTCTGTTTCTAAAGAGATTATTAAGAAAATGATGACAAGGAACAAACTAGGAGAAAATATTTTATATGTTTATCTAAAATAAAGGATTTGCACTCATTAATAAGAAAAAGGTTCAGAGGACTGCACTGAAGCTACAGCTCAGGGAGAGGGACATGTCGGATCAGAGCACATGGGAGCAAGCGAAAAGGGAAGGAGAGACAGTGTAGCACATCCTGACCCACCAAGCCCAAGGATGATATTCCTGCTCAGAGCAGCCAATGCACAGAGAAGACCATAGGGCTGGCCCCGCCACAAAACACGACTTCCCTCACTGACCCATATCGCTACAACACTGTGGGCACAGTTCGGGAATTGTGCCCAGTCTGACCCCACCACTG